TGGCCAGAGGAAGAGAGAGAAGAGCATGCTGAGAAAAGGCGGTGTGTGTGGGGGTGGGGGGTGGGGGGAGTATGTGCAAAGGTCCTGAGGTGGAAAGGAAAATGTGACTGGAGCGTTGTTCAAGATGAGTCAGGAGAGAGGGTCAGAGGCTGAGACTCTTGCCCCTTACCCTGAGGGCAATGGGAAGCCCTGCAGGGTCTACAAGGCCAAGTGAGAATGCCAGCCCAAAGGTGATCAGGAGGCACAGCTCATCTTAGCCAGATGGCTGTGGGCAGGGTCCTCCTTTTCCCTCTCTTCAGATGCAGATGCTGCATTCTTCCTGTCTCCAGGGAGAGCTGTCCAGTCTTAGAGAGAGTCAGACCGGGGATGGCCCCAGCACTTGGCTTTTCCCCCTTCCCAGGGCCCTGTCACTCCCAGCCTCCCCTGGGTGTCTGTGCCTCTTGCCACTTGCTTGTAAGTTTCCTAATATAGCCTGGCCATTTCCTCCCCAGCTAGTGGCCAAGGGCCGCTCTCCTGTGGCAATCTCAGTTTCTCTTGGGCTTAAAGGGACCATGTCAGCCCATCTCACGCCAACTTTAAGCTAAAGGTAGATTGGCTGATTTAATTTCACAAACGTGTCCAAGCCAGAGATTAGATGTCTTCCTTCTCCCAGTTTACCATCTTCTCTGCTCTGTTCACTTTCTCCTTTCACATGTTTGTTTTTCTTTCTTCTGAGCACAGTAAGGAGCACAGCTGGACATGAATGTGTATTTTGGTATATTTATTAGCTGTGTCACCTTGGTCTTATAGAAACCATTAAATACCCCTCCGGGAGTGAGCTGTGCAGATTTTTGGAGGAAGACTGTTTCAGGCAGAGGGAGCAGCAAACAGAAAGGCCCTGGGGCAGGAGCATGGCTCATGGTGTGGGAGGAACAGAAAGGAGGACTCTGTGGCCAGAGTGGAGTGAGGGAAAGGAGGAGTGGAGGGAGGTGAGGACAGAGGAGCCACGGGGATGGGATCAGATCAGGTCCATGGATCACTAAGGACTTCGGCTTTTCCTCTGAATGAGAAGAGGCAGAGCAGTGTCATGATTCTGACTTTATTACCTTTGGGTAGAATCCCTGTGATGAGCGTGTTAGGAATGGACAGAGGCGCATGGGGCAGGAAGAGACTGGTGTGGCAGCCATGATGAAAATCCAGGTGAGAGACAATGGTGGCTCAGGCGACCATCTAGTAGCAGTGGGGTGGTGACAAGTGGCCGGATTTCAGATTCACTTGGAATGGGGAGTTGACAGGATTTTCCAATGGGTATTTGCAGAATGCTGTGCTGGGGTGTGTTTTTTTTCTTAAAAGTTTATTTATAAATAAATTAATTTATTAAATCAATAAATGCAATAAAATTCATTTTAGGTGTACAGTCCTAACAAATGTATGCAGCTGTGTAACCACCAGCGCAATCAAGGTGTAGAGCATTTCCATCCATTCAGAAAGTTCCCTTGTACCCCGGTAACCACAGATCTGCTTTCTGTCACTATACCTTAGTCTTTTCCAGACTTTTATGTAATTGGAATCGCACACTTTGTATTCTTTCATCTCTGGCTTTCTTCACGTAGCATGTTTTTGAGATCCATTCATGTTGGATATGCTGGCAGTCTATTCCTTTTTAATGCTGACCAGTATTCCACTGTGTGGCTGGCCACCGTCCATCCATTTACCAGTTGATGGGCATTTAGGGTGTTTCCTTTTTTTTTAAAGTTATTTAAATGTTCATTTATTTTTGAGACAGAGACACACAGAACAGGAGCGGGGGAGAGGCAGAGAGAGAGGGAGACACAGAATTGGAAGCAGGCTCCAGGTTCTGAGCTGTCAGCACAGAGCCCAGTACAGGGCTTGAACTGAAGTGAGATCATGACCGGAGTTGAAGTCAGACGCTTAACCAACAACCCAGGTACCGCGGGTTGTTTCCTTTTTTATTGTTTTCTTCTTTTAAACCTTCCCCCGAATCCTAGATGGTGGGTATTATTTTTCCATTTTCCAGATAAGCAAATTGAGAATCTGAAGAAGTAACTTGTCCAAGGTTCTCCAGGTTAGAAAGATATTTGAGATCAGTGTGTCTCTGACTGCATGTCTCTATCTGTCCCTTTGTCTCCCATATAATGTGACTACATGTGAATGAACTTGGAAAGGGGAACACATTAATTTTCCATCTCTCCACTTTCCCATCCCCTGCACCATGCTCTCATTGCTCTGTTCTCCGCACCTGGCACACACATCCATTTTCCTACTTCCTTAACTTGAGTTAAACCTTAGTTCAAATCTCAGTTTTGCTCCGTCCTTACTAGGTGACTTTGGGCAAGTCACATAATCTCTTCGAACCATTCCACCTGTGAAATAGAGATCATATTTGCATCTTCCTCTATGAGATCATGCCCGGTGATCTTTCCTTTCTCTCTCCATTTCTCTTTGGCCCTTTTATAGCTCATATTCCATGGTCATTGATTTTTCATGGCTGGTCATTGAAAGGAGGGGAGCTCTGATGTCCCTCTCACTGCTGGCTGTGTGCCTTCCTGTAGAAAGGCTGCAAGCAACAAAAATGTAGAAAAGCCCAACTTTCTGGTGGTGAGGCCCAGAAATTGTTATTTTTTAGAGCTTCTGAAGGGTAGCCAGGATAGAGAACTGTGGGCTCAGAGCGTGAACTCTGAGCATCAGATAGACGTGAGTTTGGATTCTGTTTCCTTGGTCAAGTCGCTTAACTTCTCAGACCACCAACTTCCTCTCCTATAAATGAGCAACATCAGGGGACCCACCTGATAGGAACTTTGAGAGGTTTAAATGAGCCCTCGGCACTGTACATGACTCTTAATGTGGTCTCCTCGTGCAGAAAGGGATGGGGGCGGGGTGGGAGTAGGGGCCTGAGGTGGAGCAGCCTGGGCTGGGAGGGACCAGGCAGCATGGAGTCACAGGGACATGGTGTCCTTCCCCTGCAGAGTCCTCCTAGAACGCCAGTGTCTCAGAGCTAGGCCAAACTTTAGAGAGTTTCATATCTAACACATCATTGACAGACAGGGCAATCGAAGCCTTAAGAAGGGAAGAGAGTTGCCCAAGGTCGCACAATGAGATGGAGTTTCTGGAGAGGCTCAGCCAACCAATCAGCAAATATTTCTAGAGCACCCTATGTGCCGGGCCCGATTGCAGGTGCTGGGGCTACATCTGAGACCAAAACAGGAAAGATCCCTGCCCTAGTGGAGCTTCCGTTCTAGTGGGGAAAGAAAGGCAATAAACGCAATTATTAAGTCCTATGATATTTTAGAAGAGGGTACATACTCTAGACAACAGCAGAGAAGGGGTATCTGGGTGCTTGTGCGTAGGCAGATGGCAATTTTAAATAGGGTGGTCAGGGCAGGCTTGCTGAGCAGAGCCATGAAGGCTATCTGGAGGAAAAGAGTTCCAAGCAGAGGGAACAGCCAGTGCAAAGGCCCGAATGGGAGCACGCCTGCTGGGGTGAGCTTAGGAATCCCTTACCTGGCCGGCTGTTTCAGTTCCCTAGCCATCCTGGGCATTTGCTGGGAAGAAGGCCATTTGGGGTTGGTTTAACCAGGGTAAAGTATCAGCTTGTGTTTACAACCAAGGCTCTGAATTTCCCCCCTCAACTCAGGGAACATTACGGCAGACGCTGCTCTACATGTCGAAGGCATGAAGACGAGGGCAGGGAGCTGGTTTTCAGCAGACTACTTACATAGGCTCTGTTCCCGGGAGCTCACGTGCTCACACTGATGGACACGCGAGGCCTCCACTGCTGATACCTCCTCCTTGTACACGCCACTATCCCCCCACGTACACACGGTCTTCCACGGTCTCAGATTCCCTACTGCCCACAACCTCATACACTCAGCCTCAAGTGCCACATATTGTTCTGTGCTTTAACACTCAGACAGCCTTGCACACTTAGAACTTGTCACACACCCATGATGCCACCTCCACAGGAACTTGGACACTTACCCCACTGTGTACACACTGCACTGCACACTCATGATCTCATATAGTCAAAAGACACTGACATGCAAGTCCCTCAAAGTCTTCTATACACATGGGCTTGCACAGTTACACATTCTCCCAGACTTTCCAGCAGAGCCCTGTGCCCTCCAGGATTCACTACTCTGTGACCTCACTGTCTTATTCACTCACGAGCTTGAGCATTCGTATCACCTTGCTCACTATGAGGACTATGCACATGCATTTAACCTCATATGGACGGACAGAAGTGCCTGCTCACACAGCTCTATACTCTTTGAATCTCTGGTTTTGCACCCTCGCTCAACTTTGCCTTTCCTTACACACTCAAGACCTCAAATACTCCCGTGACCGTATGTTACATCTCATGATATCACACTCATGTGATCTCAGTCACCCTCTGCACACACACTGCCTTGCACACTCATGATTTGACAGGCTTGCATGACCCTGCACACTCCCGCAGATGGAAATATTCATGCTACCACACAAACTCACTGTCTCGCCCACTCATGCACTTGCACGTGCAGTCTCTCGTGCGATTCAAGATCTGTGCACTCATTCAAATTCACACTCACCGAACCTCATCTGCTCGGACAACTTTGCACTTTCAAACTGACTCGCCCCATCTGGCACACTTGTGACCCTGCTGTGTTCCCACCAACGGAAGTATTCACACCATCCTGCAGACTCCTTCCGGCCTCTCACTCGTTTAACCGCATGCACTCCCGGGCCTCCCCTGCTCACACAGCTGCACACACTGACGCTGACACACGGCCGCCCTCTGCCTCGCCCACCGTGACCTCGCGTGTTCCCACCACCGGGAATATTCGCACCACTGCGCAAACGGCTCGCGCACTGCCGTCCTCGCCCCCCGCCCCCGCCCCACAAGGACCACGCGCCCCTCCCCCGCCTGGCCTCCCACCCGCGCGCTCCTCGCGGCCAGCCTCGCCCCGCGCCCGCAGGGCCCTCCCAGCCGACCACTGACGCGCCCTCTCCTCGCCCCGCAGGGACCTACCAGGGCCAGTTCACCAACGGCATGCGCCACGGCTACGGCGTGCGCCAGAGCGTGCCCTACGGGATGGCCGTGGTGGTGCGCTCGCCACTGCGCACGTCGCTCTCGTCCCTGCGCAGCGAGCACAGCAACGGCACGGTGGCCCCGGACTCGCCCGCCTCGCCCGCCCCCGACGGCCCGACGCCGCCCCCGGCCGCCATCCCGCGCGGCGGCTTCGCGCTCAGCCTGCTGGCCAACGCCGAGGCGGCGCGGGCGCCCAAGGGCGGCGGCCTCTTCCAGCGGGGCGCGCTGCTGGGCCGGCTGAGGCGCGCCGAGTCGCGCACGTCGCTGGGCAGCCAGCGCAGCCGCGTCAGCTTCCTCAAGAGCGACCTCAGCTCCGGCGCCAGCGACGCCGCGTCCACCGCCAGCCTGGGCGAGGGCGCCGAGGGCGCCGACGAGGCCGCGCCTTTCGAGGCCGACATCGACGCCACCACCACCGAGACCTACATGGGCGAGTGGAAGAACGACAAGCGCTCGGGCTTCGGCGTGAGCGAACGCTCCAGCGGCCTCCGCTACGAGGGCGAGTGGCTGGACAACCTGCGCCACGGCTACGGCTGCACCACGCTGCCCGACGGCCACCGCGAGGAGGGCAAGTACCGCCACAACGTGCTGGTCAAGGGCACCAAGCGCCGCGTGCTGCCGCTCAAGAGCAGCAAGGTCCGCCAGAAGGTGGAGCACAGCGTGGAGGGCGCGCAGCGCGCCGCCGCCATCGCGCGCCAGAAGGCTGAGATCGCCGCCTCCAGGTAGGCCCCCCGCATCCCTACACCCCGGGGCTGGGTGCAGGCGGGGTGGACCCTGCTGGGGAAGGGGTCTCGGGGAAGGGCGACCCGGGAGGCTCGGTCTCCAAGCCTGTTCTCCTTCCTTCACCGTCAGGGGTTCCCCCCCACCTTTAGAGAGTTAACTGGAGGTGCCTCAGGTCCCCTGTGGTGGGTCCATCCATCCGTCCGTCCATCCACTCATCTACTCCCATCCACCCATTCATCCAACTCTCTATTCACATAACCCTTCCATTCATCCAGCCTTTCTAAGAGCCACCTGAACAACCATCTCTTCACCCCACCCACCCAACTTCCCTTTCTGATTACCCATCCGACCCCCAGGCACCCATCCAGTCATCCACCCAACCACCCAGTCAACCATTCATTCACCCAGCCCCCTCATTCACCCAGCTTCTTCGCTACCCACCTAACCAGCCCCTCCCTTCGCTGGCCACCTCCAGTCACTCAGCCTCTCTAACATCTACCTGGACAGCCACTCACCCACCCAACCACCTCCTCCTCCACCGCCACCCACCCATCCAACTTTCTATCCTTTCACCCACCCATCCTTCCATTCACCTATCCACCCAACCACCTAGACACCCATCCAGACAACCATTCAACCACCCATCCGTCCCCTTATTCACCAGCGAACCATGTTCACTCAACTATTTCTTCCATCCACCAAGCCACCCATCTTTTGATTTATTTATGTATTATTATTTTTTTAATTATTGTTTTAATTTACATCCAAGTTAGTTAGGATACAGTGCAATAATGATTTCGGGAGTCAAATCCAGTGATTCATCCCCTGTGTATAACACCCTGTGCTCATCCCAACGAATGTCTTCCTTAATGCCCCTTGCCCATTAGCTCATTCCCCCAGCACAACCCCGCCAGCAGCCCTCAGTTTGTTCTCTATATTTAAGAATCTCTTATGTTTTGTCCCCCTCCCTGTTTTTATATTATTTTTGCTTCCCTTCCCTCATGTTCATCTGTTTTGTCTCTTAAATTCCACATATGAGTGAAGTCATATGATACTTGTCTTTCTCTGACTAATTTCCCTTAGCATAATATCCTCTGGTTCCATAATCTTTTTGACTGCTGAGTAATACTCCATGGTGTATATATACCACATCTTCTTTATTCATTCATCCTTCGATGGACATTTGGGCTCTTTCCATACTTACGCTATTGTTGGTAGTGCTGCTATAAACATTGGGTTGCATGTGCCCTTTTGAAACAGCACACCTGTATCCCTCGGATAAATACCTAGTAGTGCGATTGCTGGGTCATAGGGTAGTTCCATTTTTAATTTTTTGAGGAACCTCCATGCTGTTTTCCAGAGTGGGTGCACCAGTTTGCATTCCTACCAGCAGTGCAAATGGGTTCCTCTTTCTCTGCATCCTCACTGACATCTGTTGTTAATGTCAGCCATTCTGACAGGTGTGAGGTGGTATCTCATTGTGGTTTTGATTTGTATTTCCCTGATGATGAGTGATGTTCAGCATTTTTTCATGTGTCTGTTAGCCATCTGGGTGTCTTCTTTGGAGAAGTGTCTATTTATGTCTTTTGCCCATTTCTTCGGTGGATTATTTGTTTTTTGGTGTTGAGTTTGGTAAGTTCTTTATAGATTTTTGGATACTAACTCTTTATTTGATATGTCATTTGCAATCATCTTTTCCTATTCCATTGGTTGCCTTTTAGTTTTGCTGATTGTTTCCTTCACTGTGCAGAAGATTTTTATTTTGATGAGGTACCAATAGTTCATTTTCGTTTTTGTTTCCCTTGCCTCTGGAAACATGTTGAGTAAGAAGTTGCTGTGGCCGAGGTCAAAGAAGTTTTTGCCTACTTTCTCAAGGATTTTGATGGCTTCCTCTCTTAGGTTTACGTCTTTCGTCCATTTTGAGTTTATTTTTGTATAGTGTAAGAAAGTGGTCCAGGTTCATTTTTCTGCATGCGGCTGTCCAGTTTTCCCAACACTGTTTGCTGAAGAGACTGTCTTTATTCCATTGGATATTCTTTCCCGCTTTGTCAAAGATTAGTTGGCCTTACATTTGTGGGCCCATTTCTGCACCAAGCCGCTCATGCATCCATGCATTCATTCACCAACTACCTCCATTCACCAAATCTCCATTTATCCAGCCACCCCCATCACCTCGCCATGCTTCCATCCACTGAAACAACAGCCAGTCCCACCCACCTAGCCAGTCATGCAAGCACCCATCTATCATCCATCCATCCGACCACCTCCAGTGCCCAACTGTAACTTCCATTCAACAACCCATCTGCACTTGCACTCACTCAGCCGCTGTCACCCATTCATCTTCTAGTCCTGTGTCCAGCCACCTTCCTATCCATTCAGCAACCACCCTTTCATCCATGTTCAGACCCCTCCATGTCTTCTCACTGTACTTCAGAAAAAGTTCTAATGTTGTCTTCAAACATTTATAGCATTTGCTGTGCACATGGCACTGTTTTAGTAGTTTATAAATATTAACTCATTTCATCTCCTTAAGGACTTTATAAGATCAGTACTATTTTTATTTCCTTTCACAGATTGGCTAAATGAGGCTTAGAGAGAGAAAGTGACTTGTCCAAGTCACCCAGGTAGTGAATGGCCCTTCATAATCTGGTTCCTACACTTCTGTTTAGCCTCCTTTCCTTCCCTTCCCTTCCCTTCCCTTCCCTTCCCTTCCCTTCCCTTCCCTTCCCTTCCCTTCCCTTTCCTTTTTTCTTTCTTTCTTTTGAGAGAGAGAAAGAGTGTGAGTGGGGGAGGGGCAGAGAGAGGGAGACAAAGGATCAGAAGCAGGCACCTCGCTGTCAGCGCAGAACCAGACGTGGGGCTCAAACTCACAAACCATGAGATCATGACCTGAGGTGAAGTCAGACGCTTAACCGACTGAGCCACCCAGGCACCCCCTCACTTCCTACCACTCTTGCCCTGGACCTGGATTTTATTCTCTGTGCAAATTACACTGGCCTTTCATCACCCTTCTTTACTCCTTCTGCCAGAGAGCTTTTGTTGCTCACCTGAACTGCTCTTCCTTCCTCTTGCTGCCCATTTATTTTTTTATTAAAAAAAATTTTTAATTTTTTAAAATTTATTTCTGAGAGAGAGAGAGAGAGAGAGACAGCATGAGCAGGGGAGGGTCAGAGAGAGAGGGAGATACAGAATCTGAAGCAGGCTCCAGGCTCTGAGCTGTCAGCACGGAGCCTGATGTGGGGCTCGAACCCATGAACCATGAGATCATGACCTGAGCCGAAGTCAGATGCTTAACCGACTGAGGCCCCCAGGTGCCCCTATTTTTTATTTTGAGAGTGAGAAATAGGCAGAGAGAGAGAATCCCAAGCAGGCTCTGTGCTAATAGCACATGGGGATCGAACCTATGAACCACAAGATCATGACCTGAGCTGAAATGGGGAGTTGAACGCTTAACCAACTGAGCCACCCAGGCACCCCATCTTGCTGCCCATGTAATTCCTACTCTTCCTTCAGGTCAGGCCTGACTCCCTTAGAGAGCTGATAAAGCCCAGTCCCTGTCACTTAACTGCATGGACATTTTCTTAGAACATCTTGCAGGTGCAACTTTATGCTGTTCATGTGATTTGTTTTTAACCTACCATTTATAAAGGGCTCCTTATGTGCCAGTCACTATTCTGAGACCTTTACGTACATTAACTCACTGAGTCTTTAAGACATCTCCAAAAGGTAGGTACTGTTATTATTCCCATCTCGCAAATGTGGAGTGAGCTGCAGGGGCATCAGCGGGTGTGATGGGACAGTGGTGAAACAAACTCATCTGTCTTGGTGGTCATGGCAGTCCTGCTGGTGGCTCTAAATGGCCTGGGCTGGAGGCTGTGGCTCTGTGGTCTCCAGGGTTGAGCAGACCTAGCACCAAATCCTGGATCTGTCATCTGTCAGCTGAGACCTGGGCGGATCAGTTTGCCTGTCCCGGCTTGAGTTTCCCCGTCTGTGGTACCACTGTTTCTTTGTTGTATGTTCTTGGCCAAATCCGTTTTCTTCTTCAACTTCCATTGTGTCATCTACAAAAATAAGATTTGTCTGAGAGTTAGCAAAGATAGTGCAGGTCCTGTGGTTTATAGTCCTGTCACAGGGCGAGTTCCCCCAGAAGCCGAATTTGAAGTGGAGATCAAGGTACATCAAGTTTATAGGGAGGACTCAGGATCAATATTTGTGGGGAAGGGAAGGCAGCTGGGCTGGGCAGGAGATGCTGGGCTGCAGTGCAGTCCCCACAAAGGCCTCAGCCAACCACAAGGGGTATGCCGCTGTGGAGATGCCTTTGAGAGCCGTCCCTAGCTGAGGTGAGGTCACTGGATCTTTACATCTTCTGCCCTGGGTGTGAGGGGTGTACCCCACTACCTTAAAGAAAGAGGTGTGAGGAGCACCTGGGTGGCTCCATCAGTTAAACATCCAACTTTGGCTCAGGTCACAATCTCACAGTTCACAGGTTTAAGCACTGCATCAGGCTCTGTGCTGACAGCTCAGAGCCTGGAGCCTGCTTCCGATTCTGTGTCTCCATCTCTCTCTCCCCCTCCCCTACTTGCGCTCTTTCTTTCAAAAATAAATAAACATTAAAAAAAAAGGTGGGGGTGTGTGAGCTCTGGCTGGACAGTTCTGTTCAATCAAGGGCAATCTGTGGACAGGGCTGACAGCTGGCGTCACTCTGAGCAGCCAAGGGGAGGAGGAGAGGAGAAATAAGTCCTTCATTCCTGAAGGGGAAACTGGATGGCACATCCCAGTATCTGCTACAGTGCGGGACACCGGGCAAGGGCTCAGTAAGCATTACTAGTCACTGTGGTCATTTAGTGAATTCATTATACAGATGCGGAAGCTGAGGCCCAGGAAGGAACGTAATATGCCCGAGACTACCTGGCAGGCAGATGAGAGACGAAGGCTTCAGCACCGACATTTCTGATTCTAAAAAGCTTTAACTAACATATCCTGCTATCTCTGAACTTTG